AGAACGCATGATTCTTCATTTGCTTGTCTGGATTTTATGTCCCCGGGCCACAAATCATGCCCAATGCTCTTCTATTGATCTTCGCATTATTCATGTCATAATGAATAATGAACATTTAGATTGGGGTGTTCTTGTCACAATGACAATGTTAAAGGCCAAACGTCATCCAACATTCAAAATTCCATATGCTCTTCTTGTATCCCGAATTCTTGAATATAAAGGAGTCAATGTCGAAGGTGAACAAGTTGTCCGAACTACTAACTTGAACCGCATGCTTGGACAGACACTTTGATTCATCTACAAATGGTGCGGGTCAATGACATCTATGTTCATAAAGATGACGTCCAAAATCAAGGTGATGCAATTGAAGACTCGGATGAAGATATGCCTCCAGAGACTGAATTTCTCTCTACCCAAATCCAAAATATAGGAACATCCTCTTCTCATCAAGAATCAAGACAATCCATGGAAGATATGCTTTCCGACATGAATAAAAGAATGCAATCATTCTTCAATCTTTCTGGTGTACGGCATGATGAAATTATTCGCCGTATATCCGATGTAGATGATAGAGTGGGTAGATTAGAAAATAGATTTGATACTCACTTTAATGATGAGGATAGTGAAGAATTTTAGATTTTATTAATATCTTTATATTGTAATGAATGAATGATTATGAAATAAAATTTGATGTTTCTTTCATGCTATGATTGAGGGGGAGCTTTCTCTAACTTATGCATATTTTGAGGGGGAACTCTTATGATTGATGTTGCAGAGTTCTTTTTGATTATAATCAAAATAGGGGAGAAAAATTTAAAGCATATGATTCAATATTAATTTTATCTCGGTATGTTTAATGTGTTTGTTAGTATGACGGATAAAACAAGGTTATTACAAGGGCTTTAAAAGATAATTTTGATCATCATCAAAAAGGGGAGATTGTTGAACATTCAAGGACTTGATGTTGCAAATAATGATCATGAAGAATGTTGATTTTGATGATGATCCAAGAGCTTAAAGACTTAGAGTATTGAAGATTGAAGATTGATAATTTCTGTATTAAAGTAAGAACAACTCTTTCCATACAAAAGTTAAGTGTTGTGAGTGCCAGAGAACTGTTTGTTGCAAGGAAAGGGGGCTTTTGGAACCTGGTGTGGGCTAGAAGCGATAAGAATCACTAAGTGGAGTTCTTAGTGGATTGTGTGTTGTGCCGTCTCTGGGGAAAGCTGTTCTTCATCTCTTGTGGATTTCAAGAGAGGTGTTGTCTTTACTTTATCTCTTTGATTTGTAAACTGTTTGTAACAATTTGTTCTTAGTGACAGCGTTAATCCTCTTTTGAGTGATTAGCAACTGGACGTAGGGTCTTTTGATCCGAACCAGTATAAACCTACTGTGTAATCTTCTCTACTCTTCTCTATTTACATTTACGCAGTTTTTAATCGGTAAAATTTGGGGAAAATTTTGAAAACCTAATTTTTATTAAGAAACCAATTCATCCCCCCTCTTGGTTTTTGTCCGACCATGCGAACATTCCGCTGCGCGATTCTAACAAGTAGAACTCTTCTCAGTCACTTCTTTTCTTTTGAGTTGTTGCTCCACTCGAATTTCTTTATGAAGTAAATCCTCCATATCAAACAAACTCCTGCAACTCAACAATATCACATATATCAATATTCAAACCACCAATAAATCAGACCATAGTTACCTCTTCATTTTCTTTAATCTTGGCTTGAATCATGAGCATGTCCATTTCCTTGAAATACTCCTCAACCCCTTTGTTGCCTTGAGTAAATTTTTGGAGTTTGAATTTCAAGTCCATTAAATAACTAGCTGGCACATACCGCTTCCTCATGATCCTTTTCATCTCATTCCATGTATCAACCATTGACTCTTCATTTTTACCTCTCTCCTTTTGTAGCTTGTTCCACCAAACAAGAACATAGTCAGAAAATTCCGTAGTTGCAAACCTCACCTTTTGAGTCTCCTCATAATTGTTGCATGAGAAAACATGCTCTATTTTCATCTCCCACTCCAAGTATGCCTCCGAATCATTTTTTCCTTTGAGCATAGGAATGTTAAGCTTGACTCCTTCAAGCCTACTTAGTCTTGCTACTCCATCATTCCTTCTCCTATTTCTCCTTTCTTCTTCATCTTTAGGATCTCTATTCTCCAACTGGTTCAATCTTTCATGGAGCTCATTGTTATATCGTATCATTAATCCTTCCAAATGTTGTATCAATGCTCTCATTTGAAATGGACTAATTCCTGTTTCTTGATTGTAATTTTTTTCTTCTGCCATCAATTTGATGTTCAAACCCTTAAACCGGGGCTGTGAATACTAACTGATATGAATCACAAGGGGTGATTTATGATCTTTAGGGTTAGAATCTTGTAGGAAATTTAGGAATTCAGTGATAAGGTGGAAAGAAAGAATCATTATTCCCAAGGAAGGCAACCCACAAAGGATGTGAAAGTTATTTGATATACCCAAAAGGTTCTTGAATCACTCAAGAATTTAGGAGAATCACTCTCACTAAGATAAAAGAGATAAACTCTAATATTTCTGAATAAAATTCCACTTGTTATTTTTTATAAAAATGGTTCAGCCTATATAGAAGTTTTGTCATCAGAATTACAAAGATTCAATAAAGGAAAATAAATGCTAATAATGATTCATTAACGTAGGAATTGATACTATTTAATTACTTATTCTAACTGAAATTGTCGCAACCAAAAGTCAATCTGTTATACACCCTCTTGGTCTCTCAAAGATAACTAAATTTCCAATTGGACCCTTATTACAACTTGTAATAAAATCAAACTAAAACTCATTAATTGATTAATCTAAAACACAATTTAGTCAACCAACAATACTTGTTGAAAAGTTTCATTTGCTTCCCTTACTCTAACCCTTATCATAGGTAATATTCACATCAATTATATATTTCTACTTTTGACAAAAAAATTTATAAGTTTTGCATCTTATTTGTATTTTATATTTTTTAATATTTTAAATTTATGTTATCATAAAATATACTATATATATATATATATATATATATATATATATATATATATTTTAAACCTCGTCGTATTATTTTAATATTGAATGGAGGCTTAAAAAACTAGTTTACATAAAAACAATCACAAAGATTTTTAAGAAATTTTACTATCAAGATTTTACTGTTTGAATTTTAATTAATTATACTCTTAAAATTTCAAATATTACATAAGGTTTTTTATGTATATATAAGAAGTTTTAGAGAACATTAAAAACAAGAGTTAGTTAATAAGGGTTGAATAAATAAAAATAATGTATAACTTTTTAATATTCTTCATATTATTTTATGTTTCTACGTCTTGTCGGTTTTACATTTGGATTTAATAATATATTCACAATTTTGATATTCGTTATTTGGTGATAAATTTTTTTTCTATTGATTTCATTGAGAATTCACAGTAATAATATTTTTCATTAAAAAATAATGGGTATGAATATCTACAAAAACTTGAACAATGAGATTATGATTATTCCGCAGCTGGAGGCCATTTTCTGGTGGTGGCGTCTTTTTTTTCCGGCGAAACAAAATAACTCCACTCTCCACCATACACACCTGTTTCCTCCTCAGTTGCCCCATCTACCTCAAGCCAAGAGATAGGCCTCCCAATCGGCGTTGAAAACATCTCTCCATCGTTTATGGAGTAGCATCACTTCCTCGCACACATATGTATTTGAAGAGGATGGAGGATACTCTATATAAAATCATGTAACTTAATGAGTGTAGTGTAATACAGAGATGAAGAGTGCGGAAGATAATCTATAATAAAATCATGTAGATTAATGTGTTTAGTGTGATGTATGTATTATACTTCATCGTATAACTTGTTTTGGAACCTTTTCAAGTGATAAAAGATTTTAATATCTATTTTATCTTTTTAAAATAAAAAAATACATATTGTGTGTAAAAGATTAGGAAACAACAGAGTGAAATAAAACCGAGCAACGACAGAGTTTCTGTCTTTGTTTTGAATTTTGCTTTTGAGATGCTTGAAATGAGAGGCATCTCATTTAATCTGTTTTCAGTTCCAAGTTTTTTAGCACTTGATGTTGGATATGCTGCAATTTGCATATCTATTTCCCCAAATGCCCCCAATATTTGTGTTTTTCTGAAAAAACACGAAAATAAACACAATTTTGAAGTTCTTAATGGTACACTTTTTAAAAAGAGAAAACATTTAATATTTAAAATATTACACATTTTTTTCATTAAAAAGTTATATTATTATTTTATATCAATATCTGTTTAAATCCTATTTAACAAAATAGTATATTTTAATTCTTCAAGAAGTACCATAATTTTTTTAATCATATACAAGAGCAAAAATTACTCTAAAAGACATACTTTTAGGAACCGAAAAATACATTAAAAAAATGTTTTTTTAAGCCACTGAAACAAAACTTCAAGATTTTGTTATTATGATTTTGTTCAGAATTGAAATTTGAACATTTGGTTCGATCGATGTCTTTGTCAAGAGGAGCTAATAATGTCGTGGATGCGTTGAATGAGATGAAATGAGAAGATGATTTATTAAATGGAGGTGCCAGGTGGCAATACGATGGTCTTAGGTAATGGTCATAGTAAGAGGCAATAAAGGAGAGACTAATAATTGGTATTCATCACTGGATTAGGTTATGTTCACTTCATCTCAGTACCAAAATCGAAACCTTACTCGCTTATAGCCATAAACGACGGTGTGTTGTGATAATAGTAATATTCGAATGAATGAATAAAAAAGAAAAAAAGAAGCGAGGCAAGTGGTGTGGTGTGTTATGTCAAGCGTCCGTTAAACGACAGACAGTGACAGTAGTGCAGCAGACACGATAAAATAAAAGGAAACAAACCCATTTGATTATCAGGTTCCACTGCGAAACTTCCCTTCTTGTTGTGTTCTCTTGCTTTCTCTATTCGTAGCTCTCAAAAATCTATGTGGTGGTGGAGATGGTGATGATTACTGCTTGGATCACTGACCTTTTCGCTTGTATGGGGTGAGCCCCTCCATTCTCAATATTGCTTTTTTATTCTCTCAGATTCTTAGATACTTGTATGCAACATAGATAGATAGATAGATAGATACATAAGTATTGGTGATCGATTTGCTTGCTTTAATTCAATTCCATGAATGGATTTCGTTTTGGCCTTTTTGGTATATGGTCTCATGTGCAACCAAAACTCTGGGTAAATACTGTATCAATTAGGGGTTGATTTGCCTTCACTTTTCAATTGTTCACTTAAAGGGCTTGGAGGTCTGGGATTTTATATTAAAGTTGTCATCTTGTGAAGCCAAGTTAGGTTTTTGGTGTTGACTACGCAAAGCAATGCAATTGTGTAGTATTTTGAAGCTGGCGTTGGTTGTTTCATCCTTGTTGGTGTCTGTTGCTATAGGCATTCGTTCGGTTGTTGTTTTATGATGATATGCTTTCCAAATTTAAAATGGACGAAGTTTCATTAGCTGTTTGATGTTATTTTGTCTTCCCAATGACTGATTAATTGAGGAATGGAAAAAGAGAAAACCGTTTCTTTATTGGCTGGCTCAACATTTGACTCTAATTTTAGTTATTGAAGCTTCATTGATTAGTGGATGTAACTGCTGATGGAACATAACATAGAAGAGTGGATTTCTACTTATAGAACTCCTTTGTCCTTAGTTATGTATTTAATTATTCTACCCTTTGTAGTATTGGCTACTAGAGTCAGCTAAAGAGGTGTACGCAGAAATCTTGACTTCCAATTTTGCTTTTTCTTTTTTCTTTTTTTTTTTAAATATATGTTTAAATGGAATAACTCTTAGTGGGTATCGAGATTGAGCATTATTTCGTCTGAATATTTTAAAAGATGATGCCTTCAATTGTGTATTCATAAGAAGTTTCGGATTGAATTTTCTTAAAGAATAGCTAACTTCTGTATTCTGCATCATCCATTACTCACAAGTTCTCTTTAAAAGCGTATCAAAATGACAATCGTAATATACTGCTAAGATGATGAAAATGAAACACAATAGTATAAAATATTCTCCCAGATTTAGAGATTGTTTAGTTGTGCTGTGAAATCAATAAAAACTAGCTTTTTGGTGTGTGTGGGAGCAAAAGTAATTTTATTTTTTTGAGGTGTTAGCCTGTTGGGTCAAAGTATTAAAAGTGCAAAATATGCTATTTAGGAGAAGCAATACAATATTTTTTAAGAGAATGTTATTTCTTTCTGATAATGCAATGTAGGAATTCTAACATTGCCACCAACCACTTTAAGGGCTGACATCCATGGCGGCTTCACTTTATTGATATCAACCGGGTGATAGCCCTTTTCTCCTTGAGACGGCATCACTCATCTAACAGTACTCGGTTAGTTGCATTGTGCACCTTAAGCCAGAGCATATACGGAACCCTTTTTGTAGCCCAACTCTCAATGAAAACACCAATTATCAGGAATTAAGCACAAGAGGAAAACCCAATCCAAAAGACTAGTCCATTAAGTGGGAGAGTATCAAAGTTTAAGTACCACATCAATTAGCTCATTCTACTCAAAGTGTGACTCTTAACATTTTCATTGTGGTAATTGTAAGGAAACAAATATGGATAAAAAGTAAGAAATCATAGTAAAGACAACATGAACTTGTTGAGTTTACATTGGCCTTTGTTTTTTCTGTTATTTAACTTGATTTATACAGAACAGTGGTTGTTTTGGGTGTTGTATGAAACCCACACCAATAATTGCTGTGGATGAACCGACAAAGGGACTAAGAATTCAGGGGCAGACAGTGAGAAAACCACACATATCAGATGGTTTCTGGAGTTCAAGCACTTGTGATCTGGATAATGGCAACATTCAATCTCAGAGAAGTATCTCGTCTGTCAGTACATTAAATCAAATTCTCTATCATAGTGGTGGAACTTCTACTACAGGCACCAATTCTGAATTTGTAAACCCAGGCAAGTTCTATATTAGATTTTGCTATTTTTCCTACTAATTAACATTGAAATATTCATCTACACTTTTATTATAGCACAAGTTTGTTTGTTCATTTTTTTTTATCTTTTTTGTGTAATATCACAATTCCCCATTACATACGATCCAATCACGTAACCAAGGTTTGCTTGACAAAAATGTTGGAAATAACATGATACTTTTCACTTAGTTCGTCTTTGTTGTTAATTATTTGGATTTGGATAAGATATATTATTGTATTATCATTTTTTTACTGTATACTGTTGTACATTTTTTTGCAAGATTTACTTTCCTAATTTCCTTGTTTATGGAGAAAATAAAGGTTATGGTTCATTTCTATCATAAATACATGATGTTGCTTATTGCAGGCCTTCTTCTCTGGAATGAAAGTAGGCTCCAGTGGGTTGGAAGTGAAAAATCTAGCAAGCCTAGCCAACAAAAACAAGAACCAAGACTGAAGTATGTCAACTGCATTTCATTTGGCCCAATTAACTAGATATTCTTTAAGCCACTCTAAATACACATAGGACCATGATTCTTAGCTTATTCTCTTCTTTTTAATTTTTTTGGGAAGGTGGAACAAGTAATTTAATAACTTTTGGAAGTTACTATTGTCCGGTTCTTTATTAACCTCATTGCACAATCATTCAAAATACATCCTTATTCACTGACAAACTGTAACCTTTACCTTTTGCTGCTTCTTTTTTTCAGGGGGGAGGGGAGGGTCTATTTTTCTTTCTCATTTTTGCAATTTAATAATATTGGAAGCGCAAGGCATATTTTTATCTTGAAGCAAATATTATTCAAATCAGAATATTTCATTGATATATTTTGTGGTTATATGGCCTCTCACAAGCTCAAGTTTCCATCATATTTGTTTTCCTTTTGTCATAGTTTCTTCTATGTAGATGACTTATTAGTCATTGTATTTGTTGTGTAGTTGGAATGCTACTTATGAAAGTTTGCTTGGGACTAGACAACCTTTCCCCAAGTCCATACCTTTATCTGTAAGTGTCCTGTGTATATTTTTGCTGGGATTTTTTACGTGAGAATGCAAAATTACAAATTGATAAATTGATTTGAATAAATAGGAAATGGTCGAATTCCTGGTGGATGTTTGGGAGCGTGAAGGGATGTATGGTTGAAAATTGAGAGTTAAACTGCTGAGTGGCTTTAAGCTTGTTTATATTTCAATGCCGTATTTGACTCTTGAAAGGCTTTCATGTATAGTTGTGCAGAGAAGATTGAAAGATCAAACACAAGTTTGGTCTTCCTTTGTAATTTAAAACACTAAAGGCGATCCTTTTGTTTTTGCCCTCATGTAAATGACCCTATACCATTTTCAAACTATAATATGAATTGCTGAATGCACAAGTTGTTACCGTTACCTTTAAGGCTGTGACTATGCATTTTTGCATGAGTCCGTGGTGTGGCTGGGGGTAACAAAACATCTGTTTTTCCTATTTAACATGTTTTCCACGTTAACATTAAGAGTTCCAAGTTATTGATTCATTTTCTATTTACTCCTTGTTTCTAAGTGGCTTTATATCATATCATGTCCATGCATAATTCTTTACTACCGCTGGTTAGAAACTTAAGATGTTCATACGTTACCATGCCTGTTTGGGAAATGTTCTATATACAGAAATGGTTACTGAGTTTCTGTTGTACTGATTAAATAAATTCAAGTGTTCAATTTATTTACGACTAAACTTGATTAGTATAATACAGTATAGACTCATTACCAAAAATTTTGTAGAGAAACAAAATTCTCTAAAGAGATGGTATCACTTGTTTGAGTTTAGGGTTGTTCATTACTCGTTTCAGTCCACAACCCCCAGCTTGAATTAGTAGCAATAAGATTTTTTTGCTTCCTGGATAATATTTAGTATAATATGATATTATTTATATGCAAATTGATATTATTTATTTTAAAACATAAAATAATGTCTTAAATTGAGTTTTATATCTTCTGAATTTTACAATTTTAGCTATACACAATTTTAGAGTTAATATTTTAAATTAACAAAACAGCTTGATCTAGTTTTGTTTCATGGGTAATTACGTTTTGATTAGTTTGAGTTCAGGTTCAAATTCGTGTTGATAGGAATAAAAAGTATCAAGTTAAGTAGTTTCTTATACAAATTAAATAATTTATCAAAGAACACAGATAACCTGGTCGGGTCTACACTTATCAATGTCTTAAAACTCTATATTAAAATATGCCTTTTAAATTGACTTCACAGATATCTTGATATTAGGACATGAACCCAGAGATCTTCCCTTCAAGTAAACTTTGGTTAATTAGATGGCTTGACATAAGTCCAAGCCCACCAAAAGAATTTGGACCACAAATTTATGTTCTTTGATTCACCTTTTCACCCAACCTACCTCAAAAAGGTTTTTAGAGAAAATCCAGAAAAACCAAAAAACAATAGAGATGTTTGTAACCTTCAAATTCACGTCTTTAACTCTCCTATTTCAACCTTCAAAAGTTAATTTTCTATACCCACTTAGATTTATATATTTTGATTGAACAAGTGTATGATTGTGGGGATAAGGAAGAATTTTACTTTTTTGTAGAGACCAAATCAGATTGCTTGCGTGTCCGTTCGGAACAAGAATTGAATTCTTGGCCGCACAATGAGAAGATGTATGGTGATGCAGAATCTGAATTTTTTTGGCAGTGAAAAGATCTCTTGCAATCACAAACTCCTCTGATACATGGCGTATTTTGTTGTATATTCAATTCAATTCTGGAATTTTCTAAGTTCAGATTCGCTTACGTGTCTCTACCATTCTGGCTTGTGCGTGAGCCTCCAAGAGACGAAGATTTCCAACGCAATTCAAGAAATCAAGCTCACCCAATAAATCTTCACACAGCCCAAAATAATTTACTTTGAAATGTGTGGGCATTGAAAAAATTATTTTGAGATACTCATGATACTGTAGAAATAATAATGTTGCATATCATCATTCTCTAAACATTGTACCTATCGGTTGAAAATTTGGTCAATAGGTACGATGAATCTCGCATAAAAGCTAATGATCCGAAAATGATATAACACCAAATGTGAAACTAATATCTTCTTATCTTTACAAACCCATATAATTATGTCCATCATCACGCAACTAGGTTTTGATTCAATTTGGGATACTCATAAGTGCGATGGATCTTGCGTAACACCTAATCCTCTTCAATAAAAACAATGATAGAGGGATATAGCACCAAACTCTGCAACTTTTCTATGTATACATACACACCATGGCATTAAATGATAATAATTTTCTATCGTAAAAGTTAAAATTATAAATATAAACTACTATTTGAATCTGTACATGTTTTTTAATACATTTCATTTCTAACCCTGGTACAAATTTTAAGATCTCACATTTTTAAAATATAAAGTGTGCATAGAACAGTGAAAAATCATCAGCACATCATTCCAATTATTTTAGCCTTTGACATGAAATTTTTTCCTTGTTGAATTAGATGAGAATATTTCCATTTAATAGTACTTGACAATAAATTAAATGGTACTATAAATATATAAGTTATATTTACTATAAATTTTAATAACATGTTAAATTTTGACTAAAAATAGTGATAAATTAAAATCTATAATTTTGCCTAAATATCTTATTTAAAGGACTATTACAAATTTATGTTTTAATTCATAGTTACAGTTTAAATATATTATAGGTAATTTTAATTATTATCATTTAGTACTGTAACATTCTCTTACAATTATATTTTCCCCTCAATTAATTACAATTGTTTTTATCAATCCTATTCAAATTCATAACTAGCCAAGTTAATTGACTTGTAGTAATTTTGTGTTGGAATAAATTTTAGAATTTAGATGTGCAAATTTAGTCAATTAAATACGGCCATACAATGAACATTACCATACAACTTAGGTACAAAACTGGGTAATGCATGCATGTTTGTTTGTTATCTAATACGGTGGTAGGTTATTCAGTTGCTTCCAGAATTAATCAACGCAGGAACTTCCAAATGTTTTGGTTCACGCAAGTATTCATGTAAGAAAACATTGCAAAAATGGATGTAAAACATTTTTCCCACCAAAAGGTGAGCCTTTGACCCAAAATTCATGACATAATCGAATCCAATATATTACAATGCATCCTGTCTTTTGACTCTTCTCTGGTTAGACTCGTCTTCTCCTCGTTATTTTTTATATTTTTTTTATGAATCATTCTTTTTTTTTCTGTCATCTTTTTCATATGAAATAAATAAATAAATAATTATTTAATTTTATTCTAAATAGCTAATATTATAATATATAGTCATCTATGTTTATTTAAGTCATCACTCTTTAAAATGAATCTACTCTCTAAAAGAATATTGTTTTTTATTATGTTAAATAAATATTCATTTTATAAATGAGAGTTGTTTGTCACTTTTATATAATACAATTAGTTTATATTATAAGATGGCCAATACATTTTCGTGAACATCATCCAATAACAAGAATATAATTTTAGAATTTTGATTATAGATAAGAATATTAGTCCTCGTTATTTTAACTTAATAAAATCATAGATAGATGTAAAGTATTTATCAATAATTTTTATTTAAACCAAATAAATAATCAATATCATAACATAAATTACTACTCATTGTGATTATATGACCTTGTTCATATTATCCAAATCTATTTGAGTGAAATGTATTTCGAAATGCAAATTTATAATACATGGACATTGATTTGAACAACTGGACTTCATATTTTATATATTTGCTTCATTTTCAATATATATTTTATTTAAATATTTATATAAAAAATTTATGATTGAGCATGTTGATAATAAACCCTAAAAATATTATAAAATGCATGACTGCAAATCTAACGACAAATAGATTATTAGCGATTTAAAAACAAGGAGATTATAAATATAACACAAATTTAGTTTTACTTACCATCTTATTATTTGATGTTGTAAATTGTGTTTAACTTTAATACATTATTATTGTAAATATTTATAGATTATGAATTAATTTCAAAAAATTTAATATTTTTTAAAATAATTATTATAATAAATAATACCTTATATGAAAATAAATATAATTTTTAATATGCTTAAAAAAATTGTTAACGTTTACAACTCTATATAGTCACTTCTTATGATTATGATATTATCTTTACTTAGTAAGTTACTTATGATTACTTTTGGTTTTTTATTCTCTTATATGATTTTTTTTTCATTTTCACTAAATTACAACTTTTTTTATTTGTTTATTTTGATTTTTGCATAATATGCAATGAATGAATGAGGCGTGAAGTTGGGCAAGGGGTCTGAAAAGGCAACGCCAGGGTCTAACAAAAAAATTCAAAATTCAAAATGCATGGCAATGAATGATGCAAAAAGAGGGTAACACGAATTTAGAAATAAAAACAAGTGCTGAAATTCCACATCCAATTGGGAGAATCGTTGCCAAAAGAAGAGACCACATTACATAATTGTGGACCAACCACTGGTGGAGAAACATTCCAAAACAACCCCAAGTGATTTGACATCTTTACTAATTGATTACAAATATTCTTTTCAAAATTAAACACTCATTTACCATTACCTTCATAATGAATGTATCATGTCAGAATATAAAACAAAATAAGATGAATAATAATAATAATAAAATAACAGAGAAAGTGTTATGAAAAATGTGAAGACAGAGTAACCTTATTCATATCTCTGAATAGTAAGTTGATGCATGTAATTGTGGGCAAGTGGTGGGTGGTTACATGCATGATGAGGTAGGAGTAGAGTACTTATAAGTTGATGTTTTGAGAAATAAAATATAGAGAGAATAGAGGGTGTGGAAAGTGGGGAAGGTGGGAATAGAAGATGGTTAATTAAAAAAGAGAGGTCCAATGATTCTAGCCACTCATTGTTGTACCAAACCATATGTTCATCATCTTCTTCCCAACTCCTTAATTTCATGTTTTATTAATTCAAAATAAGAGAAAGGAAAAGGTCTTGTATCATATGAGAAGGCCAAAACTCATCCGGTATGGGCCAATTCACCACCATCATAATACAAATAAATAAAAAAATAATATATAATTTTCGGAAACTTACACACTTAACCTCTTAAAGTTTTAAATTGAAAATAATTTAA